GGCCAATTAGTGACGGCACGACCTACCTTTCAAGTATGAACAAAATCAGGCGAGCCTAAAAAATCACAGAGTTAAAAGTCGTAGGTGGTGAAAAGTTACCCCAACTTTGAGGTCAATTTTCTCGTTAATGAAATATACATAAAAAAAATTAAACAGTAAATCATTGCCCACACTCAAGCTGAGTAGAATGAGATATGTCCGTGCGTTTTAATCCTAGAATTGTAGGGTGAGATACATTTGGCGCGAAGGTATTTAAAAAAATAGTTTTTTTGGCTGTTGCCATGGAAACGATGGGCCAAAATTTGTTTTCAGATTTTTCAACCTAGATAGAGTGAAGGTGTGACTTTTCTGCCAAGATTTGACCAAATCAGCCCAGCCAAAAAAAAAAATCACAGGAGAGTTAAAATGCCATTCCTGGTAAAGGGTTACCCCAACTTTGAAAAAAAAGATATCATAAATTCAAATAGTAACTTCGTGCCCACACTCAAGCTGAGTAGAATGAGCTATGTCTTTATCCTAAATTTGTAAGAGGAGATACATTGGCGCGAAGCTATTCAAAAATCAGTTTTTTAGCTGTTGCTATGGAAACGGTGGACCGATTTTTCCTTATAACTAGAGTTTGCCAAGTTTGATCGTAATCAGCCAAGCCAAAAAAATCACAGAAGTAATAATACGTGAAAATATTGGAAGACACACACACACACACACAAAGCCACAAAAGTGATTATAAGGGCAATATTGGATCGCCAATGAAAGAAACATTACAGTTTTTACTCAAAAAAATGGCCATTTGCGTCCCAATCTAATGAAGGAAAGTGCAGACTATAAACGGGAGTATGAAAAAGGGAACTGGTGATGAAAACGTTAGTAAGTGATTAAAATTGTTCATTATAGTATCTTATTGTATCTTATTATTTTTTTAAGGTTGCAGGAATCAATTTCAACGATGGGGATTAAAGTGACAATTTTCATTGTGTTAGTTGCCATAGTAACTGGATTGTATTTTGCTGGGTTTCTTACCTCTCAGCCCAGGGTGCCTGAGTATGGTGATGGATGGTGGGGGAATGGTGAGAAGCCAAAGGGTGAAGAAAACACCAGCATCCGAAAATTTAAAATCAATGTTGATGATTCAGTGATTGACGATTTGAAGCAGAGGCTGGTGAAAACAAGATGGTTTGAACCTCTTGAAGAAGCCAAGTTTCACTACGGTTTCAACTCAACTTTTATGAAGACCATTGTGGAGTACTGGACAAATAAATACGATTGGAAAAAACAGGAAAAATACCTAAACCAGTACGAGCACTTCAAGACAAATATAGAAGGAATTGACGTGCACTTCATGCATGTTAAACCGAAAGGAGCGATACCATCAGAGAAGATTAAACCACTACTGATGGTACATGGGTGGCCGGGATCTTTTGTTGAGTTTTATAAAATCATGCCATTCTTGACCGAGCCTAAGAGCCATCTTGGAACTGATGATGACACATTTGAAGTAATTTGCCCCTCCATTCCTGGATACGGTTTCTCAGAAGCCCCTCATAAACAAGGTAATCTTTCTAACATAATTTGAACAGTGGATTTGAGGATATAATCCATTCTGATATTTCCTGTAGTAACTTTAATATTAGCTCTTAAATTCTACATAAATGACCTAATACATATATTGATTTTTTGTTTTCATACTACCAGGTTTTGATGTGGTTGCAGCAGCCAGAGTGTTTGACAAATTAATGAGCCGTCTTGGACATGAGAAATATTACTATCAAGGCGGGGATTGGGGTGCAGGAATTGGACACGCACTCAGCCTGATCCAGCCAAGGTGAGTTAATGGGATGTTAGTAGTCTGACTGTCTGTCTACTAATAGATCTTTTACTGGTGTATCAAGGAACTAATTTTGCGTGTTTAAAATCTAGGAGAAAGCTGCTAGGACAGATACATATATTAAATAACAAATGGTCTTAGCGAATGTGAGCCGCTTTAATATCGTGAGAAAATTTGTTGCAAATTTCAGCAGTCACAAATTTTATATAACCATCAAATCATAAAAATATTATTAGCAAAAATTAAACAGTGTACAGTAGTCATAGTCATTAGTGATTATTCCATATAACCACACGTTTTGAGCACTACATAATGCTTTTAATGAATGATCAAATAATGCATCAAAAAACGTACAATGTGCTTACCTCATTACATAATATTTGGAATTTACCATTTAAATAATAACACTTGACTGTGAGGGTACTATCACGATTTGTTGCCTGTCCAAGGGATCGTGGTCGTGGTCAACAGCCCGAGGGCAGACCTCAAATTGTGATATTGCCCTAATAAACATGTGTTATTTATTTCATCCCACAAAATAACAATACTTATATTAGAAGTATGCAATATTTTAGTTTATGTATCATAACAAGTGACACATTAATCAATAGCATACATGCACTGCTGAAAAAAACTCATACACTTAATATAATGTTCCTTTCACCCACGGACACTCTTTTTAGTAACAGTGATTCAGCATTGGGAATCACTCAATTTATCGAGGATAACATTATTAAAATGAATTGAGAAATTATAAAAGGCAAGTTATTTCACTATTCGCCAAACATAATTGTCACTTGGCTGAGAGCGTTCTCGGTGAGCATCGGCATGGTATGAGTAGAAATGTTCACAGCGTAGAACACGCCACAGCGATCCCGGTTACGGATTTCACCGTACATTTTTGCTTCATATAAAGAATATCCTAAACATGAAACAACTTAAATATCTCACTTAAATATCCTTTCTTGCACGTTGATGTCTATTGCGGATGGCTAAAGTGATTATACATTATTTGTGATATTCACCATTACATACTATGAGGTTATTACGATACCTCGAAGTATACACGAAGACAGCGTACAGCGGCGGCGGCGTACTGTCTGGGCGCATACTTTGAGGCATTATCGCCATGACCTTATTATTATGCATCTTTTCCTTCCTAAGAAACGTCATGGGAATGCAGAAATCCAAATTTCTTTGTATGGAGTTCGGTCAAACCCTGGCGACACCCATGTTTGTTTGTTTTTATTATTAGAGGACGTTTGCGCGCGTAATCATTCCATATTTGGAATTCGCATTTTCTTATATGGTAGGATGAAAATACCCCGTAAAATACCGCAAAATTATGGCACGCTGTAACGTATGGCGTAACGGTGACAGATGTATAATTATATTTGAAATCATCATACTTCCTATTTGATATT